GCGGAAGACGGCTATCGGATAGAGCAAAATCGCAACTGATAATTTAAGAAAATAAAAATGAAGATAAAAAGAGACAAAATTTACGTGGAAAACCCCTAAATAAAATAGGGTAAAAACCACGGGCAACGGTAGAAGAATTTCACTATGAGAAAATAGGAATTACAATCTCTCTCGATCTACCAAGGAGAAAACAATGATAATTCTCTCTCGATAAAAAGGAAAAACTCTCAAGAAACTCTCTAAATTCTCTCTAGTATTGAAAAAAAGCTAGAATGCTTTGGGATGATTTTGAAGCTAAATGAGCTAGGTATTTATAGTTGAAGCTTTAAGGACTAACTTGTAATACCCTAAATTACAATGACTAAATTTGCTTATATCATTTAGCAATTTCAACAATTGTGTGCTCCTTTTGACCATTGCACCGAATTGTGCATTAATGCATTGTTTTCAGTGCTGACTTTTAACAATCTCCCACTTGAAGATTTGATTAGAACAATCATATCTTCACACCATTCTTTCTATATTGTACCATCATGTTGCTTACGTTTCTGACAGGCCACAAGAGGATCGACACCAAGTAAATTTATCAGCATTGATCGCCTTCATCATGAAATCTGCTATGTTGTCTTTGGTATGGATCTTCTGCATATCTACCGTCTCTTCTTTCACCTTTTCACGAATGAAATGGTATTGAACTCGTATGTGTTTTGTCCTTGAATGAAATGATGGATTCCTTGCTATGCCTCTGTTGTAGATTAGCCACAACTTACTGCAATTTTGAAACCCAGCTTACAGCTCCACCAGCAACTTTGAACACATATCCTGTAGTAGATTTACTTTTATCCAAATCCCCTGCATAGTCAGAATCGACATACCCATTTATAAGTAATTTGATCCTCCGTAACATAATGCAACATTTGAGGTCCCTTTGTGTATCTTAGGATCCTCTTTACTGTATTCCAATGCTCTTGCCTGGATTCGCCATGTACCGACTAACCACTCCACTGCTTGTGCAATGTCTGGTCTTGTGCATCATAGCGAACATTAAACTTCCCACTGCTGATGCATACGGTACTCGAGACATCTCCATCCTCTCTCTCTTCACTACTAGGACTCATACTGGAGGATAATTTGAAGTTATAGAAGAGGGGTAGAAATTGGCTTACAATCTTGCATGTTGAATCATGACAAGATCTCTTCAAGTAATTCTTTTGTGAAAGCCAAATCTTCATATTACTTCAATAGGAAGAGGGGTAGAAATTGGCTTACAATCTTGCATGTTGAATCATGACAAGATCTTCAAGTAATTCTTTTGTGAAAGCCAAATCTTCATATTACTTCTGTCTCGGTGAATTTGCATCCCTAGAATCTTGTTTTTGATTCCAAGTCCTTCATTTCAAATTCCCTAGCCAGTTGTGCCTTCAATTCTTCAATATGATCTTTGTTGGGTCCTGCAACCAACATGTCATCCACATACAACAACAAAATAACAAAATCGTTATCACCAGACCTCTTGAAATAAGCACAAGGGTCTGCATTAAGTATGTTGTATCCAAGGCACATAATGAAAGAATCAAATCTCTTATACCAACACCTCGGCGCCTGCTTTAGACCGTACAGAGATTTGTTCAACCTGCAAACCAAGTTCTTCTTTTCGTCTTCTTCAAAACCTTCAGGTTGGAGCATATAAATCTCTTCTTCAAGATTTCCATGAAGAAAAGCTGTTTTAACATCTAGTTGCTCTAGATGTAAGTTCAATGTAGCACACATTGCCAAAACTACTCGAACTGTTGTTAGTCGAACCACATGAGAAAATATTTCATTGAAATCAATACCTTCTTTTTGAGCATATCCTTTGACCACCAGTCTTGTACGATACCTCTCAACTTGATCGTCACCATTTCGCTTGATTTTGAAAACCCATTTGTTACCAATTGGCTTCCTTCCTTGTGGTAGTGGCACAAGGTCCCATGTATTATTTTTATGAAGGGCTTCGATTTCTTCTTGCATCGCCATCATCCACAGTGAAGCATCTGAGCTATTTATTGCCTCCTGATATGTTGATGGCTCACCGTCCTCTGTTAAAAGACAGTATGCAACATTTCCTTCTATAACATAATATGAGTGCCAATTGGGACGTCTTCTCACACGATCTGATTGACGAGTTGTTGGAGCTTCAGAACTCTGGTTCTTGTTCATCATGTGCTGGTTCTGCTTCAGAAGAATCTCCTTGTTCAAACTCCTTTTCTACATGTATCTGTGTAGTCTCTGACTTTTCAGCGCTGTCATTGTCTTCTTTTCTTTGTAGCTTATTCTACAAAGATAACATCCCTGCTAATGATCACTTTGCGGGCAGTGGGATCCCACAAGCGATACCCCTTTACTCCATCAACATACCCCAAGAATTTGCATTTTCTGGATTTTGGATCCAGCTTTGAAATTTCTTGGGCATTGTACATCACGTACAATACTTCCAAATACATGGAGGTTGAATAATCAACTGGTTTACCAGTCCACATCTCCATTGGTGTCTTCAGCTCTATTGCAGTTGATCGAGCTCGATTCACCAAATAACAGGTGGTATTGACTGCTTCTGCCCAGAATGATTTTTCTAGGCCTGCGTCCATCAACATTGCTCTTGTTCTTTCTAACAAGGTTCTATTCATCCGCTCTGCCACTCTATTTTGTTGAGGAGTGTTTGCCACTGTGAACTGTCTTTTGATGCCTTCTTTCCTGCAAAAGTCATCAAATTCTTCGCTTGTGTATTCTCCTCCATTATCTGTTCTGAAACTTGATCTTATTTCCAGAATCAAGTTCCACCCGCGCTTTGAAGTTTTTGAAAGTTGAAAACACGTCTGACTTCTTCTTAATAGGGTGCACCCAACATCTCCTTGAGTAGTCATCAATAAATGAGACAAAGTATTTTGCTCCACCTAGGGACGTTACTGGTGCTTGCCATACGTCAGAGTGAAGCAATTCTAGAACACTTTTGCCTCTAGAATTTGATGTGTTGAATTTCAACCGGTGTTGCTTACTTGTTATGCAATGCTCACACAAAGGAAGTGATACCTTTGTTAAGCCTGGAAGTAGCTTTTGCTCCACAAGGACTTTCATTCCTTGTTCTGACATGTTTCCAAGTTTCTTATGCCATAGCATTGCAGAATCTGAACTACATGAGGCAACGAGGCTTCTGCTTCTAGCAATGTCTCTCCTTCAGCATGTACAAGTTGCAGCTATCTTTTCACCTTTCAGCACCACAAGCGCTCCACGGAACACCTTCATGATTCCTTTCCGTGTTTCAATCTTGCTAGCATTATTATCCAACAATCCGTAGGATAATAAATTTTTCTTCAGACCTTTCACGTGCCGCACATCTCAAACAACTTTAATTGTTCCATCATACATCTTCAATTTGATGGTTCTCACACCAACGATCTCTAAGGCATGATCATTGCAACTATACACAGATCCTCTTGAGACAGGTTCATAATGATGGAACCATTCTCTTCTTGAGGTCATGTGATATGTCGCTCCCGAATCAATGAGTCATATATCTGCAAATCTTTTTCTGCCTTCCACGGTGGTTGATGCTTCACAGCATAGAGCATCTCCATCATCTGAAGTGTTTGCGGTATTGCCTTGTGGATTGGAGTTTTAATTTAGACTCCAACAATCCTTCTTCAAGTGACCCTTCTTTCCACAGTGGTAGCACTTTAAATTCTTCTTGCTCCTCGACTTCGATCTACCATGTTTATGACTGCTGCTTTGGCCACGTTCTGTTGATCTTGTTTCAGATTTACTTGTCTGTCTTCCTTGTTCTTGCGCCAATTTTCTTCTTGTAGAATAGCAGCTGCAACGTCATCGAAGACTATACTGCCAAGTTGATGATGAGTTGATCGTACGAATCCGGTAGACTTTGAAGTAGAAGTTCAGCACGTTCTTGTTCTCCTATTTTACAGCTTAAGGATGTAAGCTGAGAAAATAAGGTGTTCAGTGTATTAAGTGCTCCGTCACTGAAGTAAATCTGGCATACGGAGATGTACAATTCCTCTTAAGGAAAATTTTATTGTGCAGCGATGTGGCCTCGTACAATTTGATGAATGATCCCTATCTCCTTACTGTCTTCTTCTCCTCGATGCTTGACAATACTTCATCTGCTAATGCTAGATGAAAGTTTGCCATAGCACCCGTCCATCTCGTTCCATTTGATGTCATCTGCGAAATCCACCGCCTTTCATTAATAGCCGCTAGACAGCCGTCTTTCCTTAGGATGGCCTTCATCTTCAATTTCCACAATGAGAAATTCTCCCATTGAATTTTTCAATATCAAATTTTGTTGCCATAGCTTCTTCTACGGATAGCTCCCACTATTTCACTATCATGAATAGTTCTCTGGAACCTTCAAAGAATGGGTAATAACTTCTTATTTTCTTATGTTGGAGGATCCACCTTTTGGTGGCAACCACAAAACAATAACAGTATTACACACTCTAATCTGGCTCTGAAACCAATTGTTGCGGAAGACGGCTATCGGATAGAGCAAAATCGCAACTGATATTTGAGAAAATAAAAATGAAGATAAAAAGAGACACAAAATTTTACGTGGAAAACCCCTAAATAAAATAGGGTAAAAACCACGGCAACGGTAGAAGAATTCACTATGAGAAAATAGGAATTACAACCTCTCTCGATCTACCAAGAGAAAACAATGATAATTCTCTCTCGATAAAAAGGAGAAAACAACTCTAAAAAACTCTCTAAATTCTCTCTAGTATTGGAAGAAAGCTAGAATGCTTTGGGATGATTTTGAAGCTAAATGAGCTAGAGTATTTATAGTTGAAGCTTTAAGGACTAACTTGTAAATACCCTAAATTACAATGATTAAATTATTGCACCGAATTGTGCATTAATGCACCGTTTTCGGGGCTGACTTTTAACAATTGGGACCCATTTTACCATTAGCTTACCCTTGATTGCTTTGTGTAACTTTTATGCATGGAATGCCTGTAAACAATGTAACTGTTTCTGATGTGAATGTTTTACTTTCTTTTCTTGCATATTGTCTCATGTTTATGTGTTGTGCTTGCGTATTTATGCTTATTAATCCTCTGCAAGGGCTTATGATATTGCTTGTGTTTCTTTAATTATAAATACCAAATATTAGTCAAGGCCATCATATCAGAGTGGTGCAACGATAGATATTCCTCTTGATACTCATTCTACCAAGGTATTCTAAAACTTTCCAGATATTTGATGGGTTACTATCATGTTTCTAAAGCCTTCTTTTGATATTTTCCGTCTTATAAACTTTAGAATGTCAAAGCAAAGGAGAAAGAGCTTAAAGAAAAAGAGGCTGAACTGAAAAGGCGAGAGCAGGTAATTTCTGTTGTCTGCTTGAAATTGAGCAAGGTTAGCTGATGAAATATAAATCTGGTGCTTCCGAATAGTTATATGGCATTTGATATCAGCATTAATATATTACTCCTTTCACAATGCAGCTACGGTTATACGCATTTGTGAAGTACTTACAAATAATGCTAACTTGGCACAAAACTCGATTGTTTTTGTCTTTTGGAATCTCATTTTCTGAATCATATTTAAGTTTTATTCCAATCTTTCTGTCTGAATGCCTGTACAATATCTTATGTTCTTGACTTCTCAATTGCTTCCCTTTTCATTGTGAAAATACTAAATTATGCAACGACTTTATCCTAAATGTAAATTTGAATTTCATACGTAAGTAGTGTTGTTTGCAGGGTGGTTTTGCAACTTTTGTTTTCAGAATAATTTGTTTTCATAATAATGAGTGTTATCTTTGTATCATGCAGGAGTTGAAAGGAGGGAGGAAGCAATAGAACGATGTTGGTTCTTTTTTTTATTATGCTTGGCGATTTTGTGCGTTACCAATTTTAGTCACACGTATGCTTTGCCTTTGTCTTGGCAGCTGGAATAGTGATAGAGGAGAAAAATTGGCCACCATTTTGTCCTATTATCCATAATGACATCGCAAATGAAATACCAACCCACCTACAACCAACCATATATGTTGCTTTCGCAACTTTGATAGGTGAGTTAAAGTTCAAGGTTTTTCTTTTAAAAGAAATTGAAGGTTTCAATATTTTAAGCATGACCGTGCTTCGATTTTGGTTTTTGATTTTCCGGTCTTAGGTTTGAGCTCCAAATAGTGATTAGCTTTGCTATTAGTTGTTAGAATCAGCAGGTTAATTTGTTTATTAGAATTTAGAAAAAAAATGGAGCCCTTCAATTTCAAAAATAAAAATTCTTGACCAACGATATTACCATTTTTGTTTAATAAGATGCTAAATTGGATGACCGACTCATTCTATATTAGAAATAATCACCGGAAATATTTTGGTATTACGGGTTCTTATTTCTCAACGACGTCTCATGATCTAGAAAATTAGCTTGAAATGTTCATTTCTTGAAAAAAATGTTTGAATTGCCAATTTGTTATAATGGTCTATGCTGGCTTATGTCTATACATTTATACGGACATGACAGACTTGGTTATCTGCCTTCTCTACAATATAGCAGCCGCTACTACAGCATGGATCAAGGGATACTGTGAGTTTTTAAAATTACTTAGCATAGCCCTTAATCATTAGTATTTAATCGCCATTCTGGCATCTTTTATCAGTCTATGAAGTTATTATATTTTGTCCTAGGTTTAATAATTTGGCTTCTTGCCGTCATATATACCTTAACCGGCATCCCTGGAGGCTTTTACTTGTGGTATAGTCCTCTTTATAAGGCTGTAAGGTACTTCTTTTAGATTGTTCCTCATTTTGGTTTTTTTGGTTACTACAGTTGTATGTATCCAATTATCACTAGATATTTTTTTGGATAAGTAATTATTACTAGATATTAGAATTATTCCTTTTTTTTTTACTCTTAGTACTGTGAGCAAATTAGATATTTGGATCCATTTCTCACAATACTAAGACATCTGTTTTATCTCTCCTGCAAACCGCACTTTTGTTATTATTATTTTTTTGTTTATTAAACACTTTAAAGTTTCGTATAATCCAGACAACTATAATCTATTAATTTGATAGTTGTTAAACTTAACATCAGCTAAATATATTATATGACAGTCAAACTCTAGTAATCATGCCTACTTACAAACATCAATCATCACCCTAGATACTAGCAATACGGGCACATATTTGAACTATCATGTAAAATTGAAAAACTCTTTTTCTCTCTCTTTCGCTGTTCATCATCTTATTAAGATCATATAGTCTCTACTTCCTTCACAAAACCCTTGTTTGTAATTCTTTATCCAAACCAAAAATAATAAACTACAAAACATCACCGCAACTCCATTTCTCCAATCAACAATACCCTATGAGAATTCTTGTACCTGCAAGTTGAAAGATAACAACCATGAGAATTATTTATAAATGCCACTTGTAATCATTAACTTAGATGTAATGTCCGTATTCCTTTTACAGGACTGACTGCGTTGAGATTTGGATCGTTTTTCTTGGGTTACTCCGTAAGCTCATTGCTTTCTAATTTTAGTTGTTGAATATTCATCCAATATATGTTGGAAAACTCCTCATTTAAGACTCCTCCTCCTCCTTGCAGTTCCATATACTATTTTGCGTTCTAGCTGCAATTGCTCCTGGATTCTTTTTCAGGGAAGGGTCCATAACGTAAGTTTTGCTTTTTATTTTCTTCTCTTGATTCCATTAACAATCATGTTATAGGAAACATCTTTAATCTTGTTATTCAATTCCTCTATAGGATGCTCCATAGCTGAGGTCCTAATGGTGAAATTCTTTGTGCAGAGGTATTTTGACTGCATTGGATCTTTTCACACAGAATCGTGCTTTGGGGGTAAGTTCATGGGTTCTTTAGCTAAATAGTGCAGGCCATAGTCAAGTTTCAATAACGTTATTGCCTTTGAGAATGCTTTGACACTAGCCAGGCTTGGTTTTAACTTGCAGATAATATACTTCGTGGGTTTTGGATTATTTCTCTGTGAATCACTTGTGAGCATCTGGGTTATTCAGGTCCACTGATCCCTCTTTTCTGATACCTTTCACTTTTGTTACTAACTTCTCATTTCTTTTAGTACCCAAGTCTCACATATAGATACAGATATTATTTAGGTAAACTACCCTATGGTCACTAAACTATCAGTACAATTTTATTTTGACTACTTAACTTTCAATTTAGTTTCAAACAAGCCACCGGCCAATAGATGACGAACTTACTAATAGGACAATTAAATAAATTTATATAATAACAAATTTGGTTTTCATTATTTACATATTTAGTTAATAAAATTAGGAATAAATTGATAAAATATGTATGTAATGATGACCTTATGTGTTACTATAAAAATTTACTTAAATACTACGCCAAAAATTATTCTAACAATTAAAGGCCTGTAACTTGATTGAAATAATCAAGTTGAAAGTTTAGTGACCTAATTTCTTTTTCGAATTTGGTTTCATCTAAGCCCTCATTGATCTTCTGATTTGAATTGGCAGCAAGTATTCAAGTATTTCCGAGGCAGTGGTAAAGGTGCAGAGATGAAGCGTGAGGCTGCAAGACGAACCATGATGTCAGCTCTATGAGACGACGGAGAGGCGTATTGAATGATGGTAATTGCAATTCTTTTATTTCTATTTTTTGCCAACAAGTTTTTGTTCTCCACTTACCCCATAGGTTGCTTAGCTAACCATAGTGTCATTTTGCACAAATTCAAAATGATTTTTCTAAGGGCGTCCTAATAATTTTGATTTTTAACTTAGTCCTAATAATTTTGATTTCTTTTAACATAGTCCTAATAATTTTGATTTGGGATATACATTTGTTGTATTTGCATATCACTGGGCACAGTGTATTTATTATCAATGTATACAACTTAAGAGCAAAATATTGAATTATATCACCTATACCTGCGGTTTCGTTTGTAAGCTGGTAATGTTTAATGTCGCGTATTTGATTTTATATTACTTGACGTATTACTGATTCTTTTTATTTAGATGTAATTGACATTAATCATTGCACATAACTACTTTTCTAGATTCAGCCAAATCATTTCAAAATTACATATAAAGCATGAATTAAACGGTATTATTGATTAGAGGATTTGTTATTTTTTTTTTTGAGATTTTGAGTTTGAGTACGATATCCACAAAAGTATTTACACATTCATTATTAAATTATTGAAATTTTTTCGAACATATATTATCTTACAAATAAATTTAATATAAATAATACATTTTCTTCCTCTCCACGAAAAGCCAACGCCTAAACCCCATGGCCAAGTTTAACCCTGCTTAAATTCTAACCTTCATCTGGAAGGAAATGAGGTCCTTTACAAATCACAAACACAAAAGCTTCCCACCATCAACACAATGCATAATCCCATCATCAAATTTGGAGAAACTCATGGCTACAACGTTTTCTTAAAATAAATAATCAATTGAATCTTTTTCGATAATATCAAAAATTTTAAAACGTTCAATTTCTTTTACGAGTTTACACATAAATTATCTTTAAATTTTGTTTTATTATTTTATTAATCTAATGTTAACGTGGTATAAAAATAATTAAAAATAAAATTTAATTTGTGAAATGTAATTTGTAAACCATTATAAAATTGATTAAATGTTTGAAGAAAGTAAAACGCAAATTATTCAACATGTTTTACTATAAACAAAAGAAAGAACATGAGTAACAAAATAAAATTAATAATATAAATTTAATTCTCAAACGATTACAAAAGAGAACTCGAATAAATATATTAATAATATAAATTTAAAATAAACCAGTTTCATAAACTTCTATTTTTTTTATCTATAATGAAATTAATTTATCAGTAATATATTACATAAAAAACCATCTATGTTTAGAATTTTAATAAATGAAAAATATAATAAATTATTGAATATTAAATTTTAAAAAACCAAAAATGTTGTGTAAGCTATTTTAACACCAATGCCAAAAATGCCAACAACACCAGGAAAAAAATCACAATAACTTCCAAATCCAAAACTCTTGAAAGGCTGACAAAATGTAAATAAAGAATGTAAAGAATCAGAATTATCAGAAAGTCCAAAACCCTACAAAATCACTGAGCCTAAAACCCTAAATCATCACAAACAAGGAAAACCCCAAAGCAATACAATGCTTCAGAGTTGCAGTTCAGGAGAATTGAGCCGTGAAAGTTTCCCGCCTCACATCTTGGTTTTGCCAAGTAAGCTTTCTCGCCTCCATTTTCCTTACGTAGCTAGAGCTTTTTCTGGGTTTAATCACACCGACCGGAGGTTTTCTAAAAACCCATTTTTTCTTGAACAAGGCCTGAGAACAAGTGTTAACTTTATTCCCAGAAGCAGAATTCAATAGAATCTAGGGTTTCTCTAGAGTTTAAGCTACAGTGTCACTCTAAAACCCTGTTTTCTCCTGCTAGAAGTTCTTCAATCTTCAAGTAGTGTTAAAAAGGAAAGGTGCGGAGGTGTTTTGCCTTCGATTCTTAGGTCTTTGGAGTCCGACAATGATTTAGAGAAAACCCTTTATTCGGTTTGTGAGAATTTGAATCCAAAAAACCAGAGTACTTGCGAGAGAGTTGTTCGTGTTTTCGAGTTTTTCAAATCGTTGAAAGACTGAGCCGAATGCAATTCATTATATTATGTGCTTCGAGCACTGGGGAGGGCTCAAAAATGGGATGAGTTAAAGCTTTGTTGGATTGAAATGGCAAAAAATGGTGTCTTGCCGATAAATAATACTTATGGTATGCTTGTTGATGTTTATGGGAAGGCTGGTATGGTGAAACAAGCACTTCTTTGGATTAAGTATATGAGACTTAGAGGACTTTACCCTGATGAAGTGACGATGAATACGGTTGTTAGGGTTTTGAAGGATGCTGGGGATTTTGATAGGGCAGATAGGTTTTATAAGGACTGGTGCACTGGGAGGGTGGAGTTGAATGATCTCGAGTTGGATTCGATGATTGATTTCGACGATGGGTCTGGTTCAGCCATTAGTTTTAAGCATTTCCTATCAACTGAGCTTTTCAGGACAGGTGGTAGGAATCCTGTTTCGGAGAGTTTAGGTTCATAAGATACAGAAAGTTCTAGGAGAAAACCACGACTAACGTCAACATACAATACTCTGATTGATTTGTATGGAAAAGCTGGTTGGCTCAAAGATGCAGCTGTGTTTTTTGAAATGTTGAATCCGGTGTGGCGATGGATACCATCGCCTTTATCACAATGATCTTTACTTGTGGAAGTCATGGCCACTTGTCGGAGGCAGAATCCTTGCTTACTAACATGGAAGAAAGGGGAATAACTCCTGATACGAAGACTTATAACGTCTTCTTGTCTTTGTATGCTGGTTCCGGTAATATTAAGACAGCCCTCGAATATTATAGGAAAATCAGAAAAGTAGGTCTTTTCCCTGATATTGTAACTAACAGAGCTGTTCTTCATATATTGTGCAAGAGGAATATGGTTCGAGAAGTGGAGACTGTGATTGATGAAATGGAGAAATCTGGTATTCACATCGATGAGCAATCTCTTCCTATTCTTATGAAGATGTGTATTGCCGAAGGGTTGCTTGACCAGGCAAAGACTCTTTTTGAAAAGTTCCTTTTGGGTTATGAACTTTCATCAAAGACAAGTGCAGCAATTATAGATGCTTATGCCGAAAGGGGGCTTTTGGCTGAAGCTGAGGCTGTATTTTATGGAAAAAGAGATTATCGGAGGCAGAAGAGAGTTTTGTCGAGTATAATGTCATGATCAAAGCCTATGGCAAAGCGGAACTTGACGATAAAGCTTTTTCTCTTTTCAAGAGCATGAGGAATCACGGGATTTGGCCTGATGAATGCAGTTATAATTCCCTTATTCAAATGTTTTCTGGAGGTGATTTAGTCGATCATGTGAGAGACCTCTTAAGTGAAATGCGAGCAGCAGGATTAAAACCGAAGTGTCAAACTTTTTCCTCTCTTATTGCTTGCTATGCTCGTCTTGGCAAGCTTTCTGATGCCGTTGATGTATACAAAGAAATGACCAGTGCAGGGGTGAAGTCCGACGAAGTTGTTTTCGGGTCCTTAATCAATGGATTTACTGAAAGCGGTAGTGTTGAAGAAGCTCTTCGATATTTTGGCATGATGGAAGAGTCTGGAGTATCAGCAAACAAGATAGTACTATTGTCGCTGATTAAGGCTTATACCAAGGTTGGTTGTCTGGAAGGAGCACAGCGTGTGTATGAAAAGATTAAGGAACTGGATGGCGGTCCAGATAACGTTGTATCAAATAGTATTTTAAATCTTTATGCAGATCTTGGGATGATATTTGAAGACAGATGTGTTTTCGACAGTTTGAAAGAAAATGGTGGCTCTGATGGGTTTTATTTGCAACAATGATGTATCTGTATAGAAGTATGGGTATGCCTGATGAAGCTATTGATGTTGTGGATGAGATGAAACAGTCCGGTTTGTTAAGTGACTGTTCTTCATACAATAAGGTATGTTAGGAAAAGTCAGTTACGTGGGTTTGGTGAATTGTTGCATGAGATGATTAACCGAAAGATATTGCCCGACACCGGAACCTTTAACGTACTGGTCACTGCACTCAAGAAGGGAGGGATTCCGATCCAAGCTGTAACACAGCTAGAGTCATCATACCGGGAAGGGAAACCTCATGCTAGACAAGCTATTATCATTACTGTTCTTGCGACGCCATCATAAATGCGGAAATACGTCTTGAATTCTTAGTGTACAATGCAATGATTTATGCTTATGGTTCATCGGGGCAGATCGACAAGGCTTTGAACATATTCATGAAAATGAAGGATGAGAGCCTGGAGCCCGACGTTGTTACCTATATTCATCTTGTGAGTTGTTATGGGAAAGCCGGCATGTTTGAAGGTGTGAAGAGGATATACAACCAACTAAAGTATGGAGAGATCGAGCCGAATGAATCCTTGTTTAAGGCTTTCATAGATGCTTACAGAGCTGCTAACAAGCCAGACCTCGTTCAATTAGTTAACCAAGAGATGTAATTCACATTCCAAGGACATGATAATTCGGAAGCCGATGTTGAAGATGAAAGCGAAGACATTACTCTTGACCTTTAGAATTATCCCAAGATCCCGAGGCTGAAGGAAATAACACTGTGTTTGTCTAGACTCTTAGGCTCTGCTTGGTACGCAGGATGGAAAAGATCAAGTATAGAAAATTTGTTAATTAAATGGTGATATTCATAATCACTTTCTTACTTTGAAGATAAGCCATCGGAGTAACAGGTTTTCCGTCGTTCATACGAAGCAGAGTTCGAGAATTGAATATCTCTGAAGACCAATGAAATGTATGGTAGAATAAAACTCTCTGATAAGGCCTATACTGTAGAGTAACAGCAATGTAAATGGTAGAATTTAAAAGTGATTGAAGAATGCAGAATGTAGATATTTATACCAAAATCAGCGTGTTCTTGTCAGTTCAACATAGTCGGTCCATATGTAGATTGCAATTTCATTTTGATTTGAACATACTGATAGAAGATAATAAAAACAACTTTAAAATACTAATTTTTCAAAATTTAAACACACATTGAGATTTGAACCTACAATCCTGTCATATAAAAGTAAAACATTGATTGTTTAATTAAGTACTTTAAAATATCATAAAAAAGAAAGCTAAGGGGTTCAAATTGATTGATTACACATTTCTATTCTTATTCCATAAGCAAAGTCTATGATTACATATTGCATAATCATGAAATAATGTAAACACTAATTGTGTATTTATGTAATTGTCACTCGTACAGACATGTTTAACCAAAGACCTCAAGGGATAACAATAATCTCTTAACCGCCAAACTAGCATGTTGAATGTATTTACACATAATTAACTCTGATTTACGAGAGATTATGATTAGTTTAAGTACTGATAAAAAAAAATATAACAATGTAATCAAAATCACTAATGCATAGTTCGTTATTTTCAAGCCCAACAGACGAATTTTGAGTCTTGAAAACCTGTTACACATCCTATGACAACAACAAACCATGTAGAACTGATCTCCAAGTTTACTCAGTCGTCATAAAAGAAACGGTCAACAAGAAAACCGAATAATTTTCTAACAAAATGAAGCAAAAACATCCAAGGACATGAACTTTCCGGACGCACATTATTACTTGAAATATATTTAAAAAAATACAAAAAAAATAAAAGCCTCAACCTCTTTAGTGTGTCGTTTCCACAGCCTTCTGCAACAAAACATAAAGTTAAATGGTTAAAATGAAAGGTACATCAATGGCAATTGTACAACAAGTCCATGTTAAGTTGGGCATTCTATCATGCTTTTAGAAAAGATTAAGCAACCCCATGTTCAGCTCCTCGTTAGATGCTTGTGGATATGAAAAGAGGGAACCGATATCTCTGGACGACATTAGTTGATTACCGAAAATGGCTCAATATTGTACAAGAGTAAAGATTTTGTTCAGTTCAGTATTTCAAATAACTTAAAAACTCATAAACACACTCTTTTAGAGGTCATGGAATGGTTCAGTTTGTCAATTACATGTTGGGTTTAAGTATTTTAGGGATGAGAGAGTTGATGCAACATAGATGTATGTCACACATATATGCTCAGTGCTTTATTGAACACATAGTTGCAGATTTTACAAACAAATAAAACTAATAAGTATGCATTAACACAAATTCTATAACATGGTAAGCTTGTTCCATGTAAATTACATAAAATTAACATAAAATTTGTTTTCTTGATGTTGATATAAAATTAAAATTAATAAGATAAATAAATTTAATCCAATTACAAGCAAAGTTCAGAGTCAAGAAAGTAACTCTTCCTTCTTGCCTTTAGTGAAGAACTTGTATCCACTAAAAAAAGCAGACCCCATCCAGTTAAAGAGACTATAACGAACTGTACAACCGTACAAAAATATGTCAATTCAGTTCCCTAATTTCCCTAAATATGCTATCTCATCAAAATGCAGTACACTGATTCAGAAACAACTATTAAGAAGTACGCTAGTTCTGCTGTGTGACGTAATCTAAGGCTAATTTACAGGAATTTTAAACTAAAATGATATCTATCCGCTCTAAAAAATTACATAATTAATAATAATTTCGGTTACTACTAAGAATATTACATAGCTTCAAGTTAATAACTTTTTAGATTGCAACCAGAATAGTTATATAATTTACATGATTTGTTACATTGATCATAATATTTTTGATTTTAATCTAAAATGTTAGCCAGTTTACTCTAAAGAGTTACACTTGATAAGCTTAGTAAGCTTTTTGGTTACAATAGATTTCTACTTTTTTTAGCCTATATTAACTGGTTGTATCTATGAACTACCATATAACAAAATATTAAGTGAAAGATACCAGATTGTATGCAGGAATGAGACAGCTGCTCAAACTCAAAAAAATCTTAGCTCCAAATTAAAAAAAAAAATTCAACTCCCCAATCTGAAAATAAAAAAAGAAACTTTGAACGAGGGTATTTTAAAATGGAGGGAAAGTAAACAAACTGACATGTTCTTCTTTCCATTGAGCTGGATTCATTGGATCTTGCCAAAAATTAACCTTCGGAGGTCCATGGTGATCTGCAAAAGAAAACTTCTAAGATCCTTTAGCTTCAAACTCAACTACGATATAAGGTAAAAGGAGATTAAAATTGAATCCGAAAGACAAATTTCGCACCCATTGATTATAAAATATAAATTTTAAAGCAAATAAAAAAAGGAAAATGGGGAATAGTAGAATACCTGCTGTAACCCCCTCAGACCGATGCGGGTAACCCGATCCGATCTGGAGTGTCACATTAGGGCCACCGAAGCGACCCACTGTAAAAATAGCGGAAAATTTAAAACTTTTCTTAAAACATGTAACATATAAAATCATTTATTAGTATTCAGAAATAAAACAGATTTTCAGACTCGTATATAAAACAAAATACAATTACATGGCCCCTAATCACATGTATCATACTCTGAACACAACACCGGAAGAACTCCCTAACTGATGTCGATAGCTGCACTGATACAATTCTTTTAACATGTAATGTTGAGTAATAGAGTGAGCTTCGGAAAGCTCAGTATTACAGAACTACCAGATGATGCTACATGACATGCAGATAAATGGGAAGCCATAATTTCCTTATTGAATCATACGTATACCAGTGGGCGGAATAATCTGGGGTTCCCTTAGAAGTTCATCGAGTAGAAGTCATGAATCTCAGTTCATAAGAAACCTTTCATACTATCACGTTTTCATGAGGTCGAATAGGATGTCTAGTGTCTTCCATCAGTACGATAAAACCATAATAGGTACACTAATCAAATGATAGTTCAGTAAAATCCCATAAACCATACTGTAGTGGAGCTTTTTTAAACTCGTATTTTAAAACCATCTTACAAAGAGTTAACCTAAGGGAACATCTTAGGGCCTGAGAGTCTACCCAAGATAGATTTCGAGGCCTTGGGGCCTACCTAAGAACACATCTTAGGGCCGCAGGGCCTACCCGAGAATGATCTCAGGGCCGCAGAGCCTACCTAAGAGTCACATTAGGTCCATAAAAATTTTACAGCTTGATCAGAGCTGGACTTTACAAATCTGTATCTCCAAGATACAGTTTATACAATGATACAAATCCATAAGCCATCACTGTTAAGTTGGTGCATCCATAAAACAGTAACCATAGATTTCAGTGTACCACATGTTAAAACAATAAAATAATTTTTCAAAATATAAGGAACACACTAGAGAATCCAATTATTTTTCAGATGCATTTTGTAGTTATCAATATGGATAACATGAACTTGTGCAATTTGATCGGATTCCAATAATAAGATCTTATTGAAGAGAATCGATTTCTAACCGATCTAATCAGACATTTCAGATTGATACTTTTAGAATTCCACTAAGTTTCTATATGCACCAGGAAAACGTCCAGGAACCTTTATACAGAATAATTCTAAATTTAGATTTACTGCGAGTGATTCCATTACCCAAACAATCAGGGGTATTCAAGAATATACTTTGAATTCATAGGATTTCAGCCCAATTGAACCAAATGAGGTATTCAGAATCTTTTCCTTCTGCGTTACTTGCGTTTTCCAACATGACCGAAGTGATTTTAGATGAAAATATAGAATCGAAGATTCATGTCATTTACAATCTATGACTATCGATCATATTATCAAACAACTCGAGTTACACAACTCCCAAACTGATGCATGTCAACAAGTCAATTCATTATCCTTCCAGTGTATTCACTTTTTAATACCATAATGCAGATCCATAGATCATCCTCATAATCATCACTGAATAAATCTTCCAACGGTCTTTATTTCATTTCCACGTTTCAACAATATCAGGAAATACGGATGTACTTGATCCATGGCACATAACCCATAAGGACAATTCATCATGTAAGTTCAACAGTGTTTCCAAACTCATCCAATCACCTATTTAATCCTCAGTCATTGATGTTACTTAGTTCATTTAGTAAGCAAGTATATCCCGATTACTTTAAAGTTTTCCAGAATAATTCAGACGTTTCTGAATTTCAAATACAAGTTGTACTTCATTTCAGTTCAATTTATTCATATAATAAAGTCATTCTGGTATTCGTGGTTAATTTGACTCACGAATACCTACTTATTAGTACTGTATGCGCTTTAGAGTTGAGCCGAGCCAAGTACTTCCAGAATTATCATCGATCCAAATTTGAGAAGATGAACAAACATTCAAGTGGTACTTATATCATTCATGTAATGATATAGCACTAACGTTGGTTGATCACTTAAGCTGCGTTCCATAACTTTTAAGAGCAGTACAACATCCATGTTTATTTGGATTCCTTAATTAATCCAAGACATTTACTTATTCTAGGCCAATAGGGTATTTTGGTCATTTTGGTGCTCAACGTTTTTCTATTCATTTCAAAGCTTGAGTATATCCATTCATTCCTGAGCTTGGTGACATTCTTGAGTCATTTCCATTCCAGGGGTAATTTGGTCATTTTACAAATCTAGAATATTTCAATCATTTCCTTCCGTTCGGTCTTATTATTTAATTCAAACTTATCATTTATGTCAGTCCCTTTGAACTATTCTGACAAAATATCACCATCGATAAATTATTATTCTTCATGTACTTACTCAAGTCGGAGATTTCCAAGTTAAATGCCTTCTCAGATATTACTAACAGATTATCAGAATTTTCCATACAAAAATAGGATCTCAACAATCAAATCAGTAATTTATCGGTTTAAAAACAAATTCTCATGTTACTTCCTCATTCAGAGTCAACTTGGACTATTTTTACCTCTCAAGGGCATTTTTGTAATTTCTTAATCAGATAATTTCGGTATTAACTCTTAACAAAAATAATTATACTTTAGAGATCCAATGGTTAATTGCTTTACCGAACATTCTTTGATCTCAAAATGATTCCTTAACAGACTTATAGTATCTTATACAAACCCTTTAGGGTTAAAAACCAATTATCCAAATTTTCTAAGCAAAACTAGCATTTCTTATGCACATCTGTAATTATATCGGATCAATATGTCTTTTCAGAGTTATTAACCAACTTCTAGGGATAATTCTTGTCATCCACAAACATAAGGGTATTTTCGTAATTTTATCCTATCGGAGTATTCTCATAATTTCCCATCCAAGTACCTTTAACATTTAACCTTTAAAATATAAGTTACAAATCCATGGCTGATTTCTTTATCACAAATCACACAACTTGTAATTTAATTCTAACATTCCCTCAATCTCTTATATTAATCATTCGATCCGAATTCAGTTATAGAATTTCTACCACATTCATATCGAGTATATAATTATTCAACTCCATAAAAGTGACCAACATTATCTTATTCATGCATTTACCAATATCAACATGTTCTATAAAGCATAAAGAGGTAGTAAAGTATTACCTCGATTTCCATGCAATATTGATCGACCATAAAAATCCCATTCGAACGCCTTTGATCTTCAATTCAACTTCCAATAAATTCCTCAGATACATATCAACATAAATTATATAAAAAACGGAGCTTAATTACGATAAACGGATCAAATTGGGTGATAAATCAGTGAAAAACAGCTTGCTGGATTCGAATTTGGCGAAACGGACTTCGGATTCGGATTCAGGACGTCGAAAGCATAAAATGACTTTTTCGGAAATTTGAAATTTTCAGTCAAAATCAAAGTCAACAGGTTTGACTACCAATTTCGAGGCCTTTGGGTCTGAATTTCGAAAAATAGATTGCGGAATCGGATTTGGAACGTCGAAAAATGTCAGGATAGGTATACTCGGTCAAAGTCAAAGGTCGTTTAATGCCCGGTCAAAGCCCGTCAAAGTTTTGGTCAACAGTGGTCAACGGTCAACGGGTCGGGTCAACGGGTCGGGTCGGATTGTAACCGGTCAAACCGGGTCAAATCTGCTCCAAAACCGGTCAAACCGGTCATTTGGACCATCCCCACGCGCAGTGGCGGCGCGTGGGGGCACGTGGGGCCCCTTTCGGCTGTCTAAAAATCATGAAAAAATTCTTAAAAATTATTTTGAGCGATTCCGAGATACTTACAAAGCTCGGTTCACAATTTTGAACGGCGGAGAGCTCGATTGCAACAAATCGGAAACTTTGACCGCTTTACCTCCTCACGCGCCGCCGTCGACGGAGATCAAGGATGACACCGGCGGACTCAGAGCGATGCAAGGAACACGATGGTGTGGGCGGTGTCGTAAATGGATCATCGGATCGTCGTGAATCAACGAAAAACCAATTGAAATCGAGTTATTACCGACGATACTTCCGAATGAAATTAACGACGAACGACGACAATTCACGATGAAAGGGTTGAGGGGTTTTGTTCCTCGCTCGACAACGAACACGATGGTGGTTTTGACTCGTCGATCGAAGGTCGGACGACGAGTAGATCGGAGTTGAAAGAAGAGTTGTTGGAGAGGGAAAAACTGAAAAACCATTCTGAAACTGACGGGAGAGATTTATAATTCAACATATATAAAAAATGGTTAAATCATAGGTTTAGTCACTCAATTTCCTGTACTTCTTAAAATGGTATGTCAACTTTAAACTTTTACAATTTAATCCACCATTTATTTCAAAATACCTATTAAATCCAATACTTTATAATTTCTTAAAATTTAGCCCCTAAATTGGGGTGTTACACCCGTGGCGCCGGCAAGACCACGGTGAGGAATGAGAGAAGCGGCTTGAGACGGAACTGGCGTCCGAGCTAGAGTGGCTGCTCTACGAGCTGCAATTGCGGTCAATGTAGCCATTTTGGGGTTATTTCTTGGGAAGCTAGGGCAAGGGAATCGGATGATGCTTTCCACAAGGGAAGTGTAAATTACGATTAGAAATTATTTACAAAATGATTATTTACAGTTATCATTTGGCCCACACCTCAGGCTCAGCCACGTATTAGCCGGTGAAATTAAAGGGAAAAAAACTATAATTCGCTGTTGCCGGGGATCGAACCCGGGTGACAAGCGGTAATACTCATTCTAAATTGTACTTTATTAAGTATAAAAAAAGATGTTAAAAGTTTGTGTTTTTTAGCCAGACAAATGCTACCGATTAACATCGTACACTTCTTCTATCGTTCCAACATAAATTGAGGGTATGAAAATCAGTTGCTGAAGTAGAGTTTTGGGCACATTTTCAACAATCCATGAACAAAAATGATAACAGACGGACATTCATCCATCCATACATACTATCATCCATTCCTCCAATGCAGTAAAATGTAACAACATTACTTAGAAGCAAAGATATGCAGGCATATGACTGCTACAATCGGAACGATGGTGGATTTAGATTCAATGCAGATTACGACGTATAAAGTTCTACAATGACGCAGATCAAAATTTTTGTCTCAATGATCTTTTAACTAGTTCGATATTGATGAACAGCGTATGCTACAACGAACTAAGCTGGAATGAATTAAATACCATGTTACAACCAGCAGCCATGCTTGGCCTCTTTAAAATTATACAAGCATACTCGACCTTCAATCTTCTAAGACGGTGTTGAACGACTAGAGATTTCCATGGCGATTGTTGATCAATGAAAATTGCACAGTTGCAAGAGTGATTGGGAATAATCGACGTACTTCTCCCAAAGGGGCTTGTACTTCTCTATGCCGATTTTCAACCACGGCTTTGAATTTCCGTTGAAGTGTAGAACGGCCCCTTTCTCTATCAACTGAGGATCTACGTTTGTATAGCCTAGCCCCAGTACATGCCACGACGGGTCCAATGCCTCTGTCAGTCCATAGAATGTCAGCAGTCCGGGTGGCAGTGTCCCGAGTTTCCACAATGTCCGGTCCACATTCCGTTCTTGCCAATAATGATAGATGCCGGTCACATTCCTCTTCCTCCACTCAACCAAATCGAAAACGTTCATCCCAAATGCCCAACCACATGCATCGGGGTCAAAATGTGCCCTTATAAGAGGGTGAGAGTAATTCAGGTACTTGTGATATCTATGAAATGTCTCCATGCATGTCTCGACCGCTCCATTAACATTGCCGTTCAAATCGATGGAAAACAGACCAGACAGATCCTTCTGAACCACAATGTCATCATCAAGAAATACCACCTTCTTTAGTGCCGGATAAACTTCAGGAATATAGAACCTCAAATGATTAAGCATAGACAGGTATTTGGGGTTTCTGAACTTGATCGGAGTCCGGCCATCATCATTATGCCCAGAAAAATAATAACTCTGAGTCCCGGAATCTTGCAGTTGTTTAAGAACCGGAACATAAGAAGCATTCAACCACTTGAAGTCCTCTAGCTTCTGAACCACAACAGTCGCTCCCCGAAAATTGTTCAAGGTGAACCAGGCCTTCATCCCAGCATAGTTTATTTCATCAGTTACAAGATGAAAGACAATCTTCTCCGGGTTTTTGGAATTTAAAGCCGTCGAGTTAACCACCACGGAACTTGCAAGAATGTTATCAGAGAAGATGCAGAAATGATACAAATCGTTGTCTTTAAGTTTCGCATCCGATTGCCTTTTTTCCCTGAGTTTCTTTTGTAAATTTGGGTTTCTGAACCATTCAGTAGTCAACCTAACACCGAGACAGTACAGACTTTTGGGTACTTCTTCAGCGGCTATTTGTCCATACTTAGAACTTTTATCGCTCGCTGAACTCATCTGTTCTTCAAGAGTTTGGATTTTGGCTCTTAATCTCATGAGCATTGTTGCACTGTCATAGTGGAGTTGTTGGGCTTGGAAGAGCAGAAGTGCCATGTCACGAATTGCAATCTCCGATTCTCCAACTGTCAATGGAGTTCGCCTAGTTGCAGCATTTGACAGAAGGGCCTGTGAATTACGGATTTGAGCACTTAATTCCCAAGCAAATTGGAGATTGTTGCTTTCTTTTGCTATCACAACAATAGCCTTTGCAAGAGAAATTTGATCAGTAATTTGTCTAGTGACAGAGTCGGGGCTCAACATTTCATCAGTGATTATTCCTTCCGTAATTTTGTCATGCCGATTAGGTTTCTGCAAATATGGAACACACACATAAATTTGAGAACTTCACATAGATAAAAGTTAATCGTAGTTCACATAGATAAAAATTAATCGTTGAATAGCAGGGAACAGAAAAGAACTTCAACTTCTTTTCAGCCCTATGAAGATGAATGGAATTCGTGCCACTAGAGAACAGAAGCATCCTAACAGTCGTATCTAGTCATATGATAAATTTCCATTCAGAATGTAAGACAAAGTGCTGCAACTATTCTGTGTCTTAAAAACCACTTTATTGATCTCTTCTAATAAGTTCAAGCATCCTAATGCTTACGTTTTTTACAGGATAAGACATATCTTAAAATTATTGCTTTACATCAACGTGAATTACGGAGTGCTACTTCCATAAAATGTCATGCTTCTTGAAAGTAATATACACTCCCAGTCTCACGGTGACCTATAGTACAAAGCAAATGGTAGCATAACAGAAAGCACAGCATTGTGATCGGTTATCCAATTTTTCTCTTTATCTGATTAAAGATCAATTCAATTCCCTAAATGTAATGATGTATGGTTCTGAAATACCTCTTTCTCCTATTTATATCCTATGGCTTCAAAAGATACCTAAAGCCACCAACCTTTATAGGAGCAGTAATACTCTTCATACTATGCTGGCCTAGCCACTATAAATAGATTTACGGGACCATACCTCCTCAACAGCATATGATTAACACGCATAGCTCCTTCTAAATTGAAACAAGCCATTTGATGGTGCAGAGATAAGGTAATTAGAACAACCTATACCTTAAAAATGACATCTGACCATTTTATGACTCCCTTTGTTTAGAACACCCAGAAGTAGTTAAAGGCATGTTTTCCAAGAACAGATAAGCATATGCCACTACATAAGATCAAACCTGCAATACTTACCAATTCTCTTTAATTCCAAAGCTATCATTCAACTTCCTTACAGTTTCGGTTATTCGGTCCTTGAGGTTTGTATTTCCTAAAGTTTGTCTTGAATAAGTTTAGTGTACGAAACGGAAGGGCCAAACTACTACTTCTAACAAGGACATGTAATTCTAGTGAGTTACTACTCGACGAAGAAAACGGATTAAATCAAAACGACCTGCTTCAACACACATAGATGATAATTGACATGCCAACACAAACCCTTTTTTCTTTTCAGCTAAACAAAATCCAAACTACCGTGTCGAAAAAGAACAAATTCTTAACAACTCCAGCAGACAAAAATGTCCCAACAAAACAGTTAAGAATTATAAATATAACAGTTAGAGCATAAATCTCTGAAACTTGAAATATACCACAGATCCTACGAGAAACTCCAGAAAAAGTTCAAGCAAATGTGCCATCTAGATTCCAATTCACATCAGACACAGAATTGCAGACGACAAATCACTTCTAATGATAAAAAGAAAATTTGTCCCCTAAATTCACCCAAATCAAATACTTTACCCATAACCCAAAATAGAAATTTGTTCAAAGATGTCCATGAATTAAAAAAAAACAATAAGAGCTTTCCAAATCATTAGAGAATAGTCGAAAACAAAAACAAAGAAGAAGAAAGAGTAGATCTTTACCCTAGAAATGGTGGGTGTTGATTCAATCTGGCCTTCTCTGCTCAAAACGACGATGAGAACCAAAACCAAAATCCCGCACACTGTAAACCACACAACATTGGGAAGCCTCCTCCTCACCGGTCTCCTAAAATCTAGTCCTCGCCGCCTCATCTTTTCACAGCTCTACGGTTAACTATCCGGCCTAAAAACCTCTACTTTTCCCCAGAAATTCTACGATCTTCCTTCCGATAGGTGAGTTTAACTTAGATCTAACTAAGGTTAAGTTGAAAGGAAAAAGCTTGTGGGTTTTGATGTGGATTGAAGTGAAGTAAAGAGTTGGGAAACGAAGAAGATGATCGTATTTAGCAGCAGCAGTTGTGGGTGATAAAGATTGTGGCTTTGAATGGAGGAACACTGGGTCTGATTCTGCAATGTCAAATCAAATTTGGATGCTTCTCTTACATTGATGCTTTGCTTTCTCAGGCATCACAGTTTCCGGTTTTATTACACTAAATCCCTTCGGTTTTCTTTTGGTAGAAAACCAGCAAATGCAAGGAAAGTGTTGAAAGAGGCTTGGGGGATTTATTTGGTGGTTTTTAGACACAATCTTAATGCATTTATTTGTACTTGACTAAATTTGGTATAATTATATACTTCACTAAAATTGCACTTATACCCAATTTTTCAGACTTAAAATTGTATTAAATCATTAAAAAATCATAACTTTTCAGATTCCGATGAGAAATGGTAAATCTGAAGGGATAATAAGGTGGACAAAATAATGGTTCGTTACATAGTGTTGGAAAAATTATTTTCTTAATTAAAGTAGAATAAATAGTGGATGAAGAAAAACTTCAGATTATTTGGTATTTTTGGATAGACATAGACTTGAAAAAAAAATATGATGTCTTCCTGTGTTATATGTAATTGGAATGTTAAGTCTAACATAATAATAATAATATGGTAAAAGGATTACTGTTGTTAAAAATTGGCAAATTGTAAACTTATCCCTAAACTGCTTTAGATTTACAAAAAGTCAATAATTAAATTTTATCTAAAATTCAAAGATTAAAACAAAAATTAAACCATTTTATTAACATATCACTCATCAAATTGTTAAACCTTTAATAATCGTTTAGAGGAAGTGACAACAAACCTTTAACGGCCTATTAAGGTAAATGACCACAAATTGTCAAACCTTTAATGGTCGTTTAGAGTAAGTGGCCACACACCTTTAACGACTGATTAGGGTAAATGATCACATCTTAATTAAAATGAAACGAAATTGATCACATTTTAATTAAAACTAAACAAAAGTGACTACAAATTAAATTTTTTTAATCGAGTAACCATACATTTATAAAATTAAAACAAAAATGACCAAATCTGTAGTTTAACCTTGACTTTATACTATCCCATTTATCATGCGGAAACTGATTAAGACGAGAGTTTTCACAAACATTAACATATCAATAATACAAATTAGTGTAAATTACACATTTAATATCTCAACTATTATTTTTATTTCGTTCTGGTCACCTAATTATTTTTTCAATAAAAATAGTACATAATATATTATTTTGATTTCGATTGGTCACCATTAAAAACTTAATAATGGGGAAAGATAATCATAGAGTTAAAAGAGAAGATGTTCATCAAAACATCAACTAATATAAATCACTATGCTTTAATCCTCTAAGAAACTTAGGTCTACTCCAACAAGCCTAAGCAATTATTTCTTACTTTTAAACCCATACACCCATGAAAGATTTCTAAAATGGCCTCTGAATTCTTCCTATATTAAACAGAGTATGTATATATGCAGCATCACTCACAAAAGGGATGTGAGCATATTTACCACCAAGAGCACTCCTAACACATTCCAGCAAAGCGAAGATGAAGCCGAATCCGATGCCGGCCCAAAAGTACATCCCGAACGTGCCGTTATAGTGTATGAATGGGAAGAAGTTGCCTGTATACCACAGTAACTGCAGACCAGTTTCTAATAACATGCCCATCATCAGGTGGAATCTAATGAAATGAGGACAGTCTTTGTTCTTCACGATCCCAATGTATCCGAAATAGCAATATATCATTGTGAACCATGGAGGAAATCTCTTTATGACTCCCGGGATGAAATAAATCAAATTTCCAAGCATCTCATGATGTTCTAGGAAAGGTTGAAGAAAATATCCGGTATCGGAAATCTGCAAAGCTATTAAATAGGGAACACAGGCCAAAGTCCTCCACCACCACTTGGGCTTTTCGGTTATCACGGGGTAACGGAATTCGAATATATCATCCTTATATGCTCTTGTTGTTAGGAGAGACCCCTGCCGTCTAGGTAAGACATTGACATTATGCCACAAGTCACCTTCATTTTCATCCAGAAACTGCATTGATGAGGCAGAAATGTCTGCAACTTCACCTAAAAGCTGCAATGACGAGGCTGAAAGGCGTTTATACCGTGAGCCTGCCAATGCATTACGAATTCATTACAACATATTTTTTCACCAAAAACTATGAAGATGAAAGGCAAAGAAAGACATCGTTTATGCAAACTAGCATACCTATAGAAAGCGAGAAATCCCATGCATCAATGCCGTTTGAAAACATCTGAATACGAGTGGCCTGCGAACTCGAGTTGAATGCCGCAACCGAGGGCTTATAGACAAGGCGGACAGTGCTGCGTTGGTTTAAAATCAAGTCCTTTGACCTGGTCGAGTACAAATGCTGTCAAGCAGGGCATATGAAAAGAAGCAAACACGAAACAAGAACGTTTCAATGACATGACCAATTAAATAATCCAAGCCTTCCAACAATTCTAGCAGTAAGTTCCTATAATAACAACAACCGATGGATTATAACAGCGAAAAGCATGCCCAACGTTTCACAATTAACTGTGAAAAGTTCATTCGAAATTTCAAATACATAAATTTTAGCATTCAATACATAAGAATGAGTGCACCAATTCAAAAATCGCTAGAGAAACCCAAAAACATAGAAAGTAAACAAAGATATCCGAAATGATGAACAAATTGCAGAACATAGAAGCAACAAATATATATGCCAGAAGGGATTTAAATAGCGCCATTATGGAGCGGTATCAGTGTCATCCGAAACCGTTATTATATGCACAATAATTCATTGCGTCTGCAATCACGATAAATGTAAGGAAAATGATCACAAATAATCCATTAAGTCTGCAACCACAATAAATGCAAGGCAAATGAAAACACGCAATTTAAATCCATGTAAGCTAGCTATAAAGACACAAAAACAAAGAGATAAAAAAAAAAAGCATAATCGAAGATGCACGGAAACCCTAGAAAGGATAAACACGAGTCGAACATATACATCATCTTCAACGGATGAAAATCAAAGAAGTTAAAAGATTTTCTAATCGACTGCAAATGTCACCATTGATGAAATGAGAATCCTAATAAATAAATTTGAATAAAAATGAAAAACAGCGTACCGGAGGCCGGCGACGGCTAGTTTGGGGAAGGGTGGGGAAGAGAGAGTAGGTGTGGGAGGAGCCATTGTTTGGGGGCGAGTCTCTCGGCGGAGCGACTCGAGGACAGAAGAACGGAATGTTACTTTGCATGCAAGAAAGAAAACATATGGTATTTATATTATAGGGCCTGGGTTGTTCTGGAACCTGCCGCGAAAACCTGTATACTTTAGTCAATGACGGGCTTTTGAAATTTCTGTCGGACCAAACCTTAAAATGTTCTATGGACTCTTCTTTCTGGACCTAAACACCAATACACTTACAAAATTTCAATCTATATATATACAACACAAGTATTATCAAAATTATATTTTAAAAAAAGTTTATCTTTTTAAATATATTTTTCATGTACCAACGGGATTGATTCAAGTGATTAGTAGCTTGATATCGTTTAAGTAGGTTTCGAGTTTGAGTCTTTGTGTATGCATAAAATTTTCACTGAAAGACTTATCCACCAAACCAGATGTACGACCCGAATCAATTCGAATTAATCAAAACGAAGTCTTGAGAATCGAGAAGACAACAACAAAAAAATGTGGAAATAATGTGAGGTCGATGAAAATAAGATGAGCAAAAGGTCATGATACCTATATCTGTCCCACTATTTACGACATGTCTAACTTTATTTTCATTCTCGTCTCTCCACTAGCAAAACTTATCTTTGTTTAATTAAACGTGAAATAAGATGAATCTATATTATCTACTAAACTCATCCCATTAGTATTCTTAGCAATATCTCTTCTCGATACATCACTAATTTAGGATAAACTATACCATTGACTGCTTAATTATTTAGTCATTTTACTTTTACCACTGATCTTTCAATTTTGTCAATCAAAACCACTTAACCATTTAATTGTATTCAATCAAGCCACTTGTCGTTAATATCTAACCGAAACGCTGATGTGACAGTTAATAAAATCGGTATAATTATGCATTTAGTCTTAATACTTATACATTTTATCAATTCGATCCTAAAATAAATTTAATTCAATAAATTCAATACTTGTACATGTGACCATCTGGTTAAAGAAAAATCAAATGAAAAATAAAGATAAAAAAACAGAATATATATAAATCTTGAATTATAAATGTGAAAAAATATTAAATTTATTTTAAGAATATATAAATATTGAATTTAATTTTTTTAATATTATATAAACTAATTTATAATATATATATATATATATAGGTTTTTTTTATTAAATATATAATCTAGGTTCAATTCTCACCATGAGCATATTTTTTTTTCTTTTTCTACATTAACTAAAATATATATGATATTGTGTAAATGATAACATAAACTTGGCACTTGACTTAGTGGTTAGGCGTGCAAGCTTTTCCTAAGGTTCTATGTTTGATTCCTTATAGTTTTTTAGTTTTACTGCATTTATTTCCTTTTTGATTTTTCTTTAACTTTATGATAATCTAGTTTGAAGATAAATATATAAATTAAATAAATTTAAATTATAAAAAAATATTTAATCTAATAGTGACATGTCACCATATAATTGATGGATTAAATTTATTGAATTAAATTTATTTTAAGACCAAATTGATAGATGTATAAGTATTGATGACTAAATGTGTAATTATATTAATTTTATTAACTATCACGGTCATTATTTCTGTAGATATTAACGACAAGTGGCTTAATTGAACATAATTAAATAATTAAGTGGTCTGAAAAGTAAAAAGGCTAGATAGTTGAGTGATCAATAGTATATTTTATCCTATAATAGGTTGATGAAAATGCTTAATGACAGTTAAAAATTAACATACTTATGCATTTAGTCCTTAATCTTCATATATTATATCAATTTGATCTGAATTTAAATTTAATTTAATAAATTAATCATTCAATCAATAACTGACTTGTGTCGACACATGATCATGACACGTGTCACCACATGATTTGAATATTTTATTTATTTATTTTAATTTATTAAAATTAAATAAATTGTCTATCCAACCAAACAGTGACATATATCACCAAGAAAACTAAAATACAAAAGGAAGTAAATGAAAGGGCTAGGAGAATTGAACTTGAGCACCAGATGGAATGAGCACGCTCACATCACAAGTTATCTTCACCATTTGTGTTAGAGAATACACAATAACACAAATATATTGATACTATAATTGATGCCACCACAAAATGTAAATTTAAAATATGTATATTTTTTAAATTAAATATTTAAATATATGAATAAAAACACATTTAAATGTATTTAAATACAAACATATATTTATATAAATATATTTTTATTCATATATTTAAGTATTTTTGTTAAAATATTAATATATTTTAAATATTAATTTATACAAAAAAATATAAATGATTTGTACATTTAAATATAAATTGAATCATTTATATTTTTTATACATTTTATATTTAATAAACAATAAAATTATTAATTAAATTAAAAATACTCAATTCACTAGCACAATATATATGTTATTGTGTATTTTTTTTAACACAAATGATAAAAATAGCCTAATGGTATTGCCGTGCTTACTCCATCCTTGGTTCCTAGGTTTGATTTGCTCAACCCCCTTCCCATTTACTTTCATTTGAAATTTAGTTTTCTTCCAACCGGATGGTGACACATGTCACTATTTGGTTGGATATAAAATTTATTTAATTAAGTGAATTAAAATAAAAAAACCTTCAAATCAGGTCGTGACATATGTCACTAATGACACATGTCAGTTATTGATTGAATGATTAATATATTAAATTCATATCGAATTAATAGAATATATAAACATTAATGATTAAATGTATAATTAATGCAATCTTTTAACTGCCACATCAACATTTTCATTTCTGTCGACTGTTAACAGCTAGTGGTTTAAATGAACACGATAAATAGTTAAGTGATATGATTGACAAAATTAAAAAATAGGTTGTAAAAGTAGAAGAACTAGATAATTGAATGGTCAATGCTATAGTTCCTATAGTATATAAATGCATGTTCTATTTAAGGAAAAAAAAAATATCCATTACATATAATTTATTAAATCATGTTTAACATGTAAAGTTAGATAATAATTAAATATATAAATTAATACATAAGGAGTTTGAATATTTGAATTTGAAATCAAAAGCAATTAAACTTTGGATATCAAATAGATGTCCAAATCGGTTGAAAAGGCTACATCTAACACTTGAATCCTATAAAAATATTTTTTTTAACATACTACTCAAATAAATTAACATAGATACGCTAATTTGAATCTTCGTTGAATGAAAAAGTGTGGTGGTTCAAGGATACATTTCAGCTTAGGATGTCCAAGATTTTTCAGCTCTAATTATTCGAGTTCTCCCCGTTATTGCCTCGTGTCACCTGCGCACCGTTGAAGCACGGAGCATGGTAGAGCCTGTCCTAAACATGACAAGGTAGATGAAAGAAACTGGAGCAGCACAAAAACCACCCGCAACCGCAAGGATCAATGTGAGGATAATCCTGAAGGAACACCCCCCCCCCCGGGGCCGGTTCAGAGGGTCCGATCATCATCAGTTTGGTCCATTTCAGTATGTGTTCTTCGTTTTGCATCCATCAATTCTAATGGATCTTGTAATAATAAACTAGAAAACTTTATTTGTATTGATTTGTCAGATCGAACCCAAAGTTGGGATCTGGTACCATCTCGTTTCATATGTGATTTATTGTCCAAAATACAACCGCAAGTCGCAAAGCTCGCTTACCCAGCATCGTCATCAGTTGAAGCAACTTGACCATTGGCAAAATGACAATTCGTTTCCATTACAAAGAAGATGAATTTCAGGCTTGAATGCACATTCATTTTGGGCAATTTGAACCATATATTGTCCATGGTTGAGCTTTGCCTTTGGCTCTGCTTCCCTATATTTCTCATGTCAAGAATACCTGAAGGAAAGCAACAAACATCAGCTATGTCATCGATAATGAAAACGATAATCTGGCATGACACAAATCCATGCTATCAATCATTTCAACATGAATCACAGGTTACATTATAAATCTACAAGGCCAACATAAATCACCAACTCAAAATGTACGGGAAAAACAGTAGACTGCAGAATGCACTTACCAACATCAGTACTATTGCATTAAGGAGCGTCTGTAACACATCCATATTCTACTTTAAGCCAAACTGAAGTACTCAAGATGACAGAAAAAAATATTCTTCGGAAGTTCAATTCCTGAATCAATTACATAACTACCATTTTCGTTTAACATCCTTCGAACCAGATGAGTCTGAAAAGGATAAATTCAACTCCTCTAAAAACGACATTGCCAAATCCATCTTCCCTGCCTTCTTCAAAATGTCAATTAGGGATCGATAAATGTATATTGATGGACGGATCTTTCTCTGCTTCATTTCACTGAAGAGGCTTAATGCTACTTCAGTGTTCCCCGATCGGCCAAATGCCTCGATCATTTCTCTATAAGTAATCAAATCTGGTTCAATTCCACTATAACCCATTTCTCTAAAAAACAATAAGCACATATCCAATCTCCCAATCTTCCTCAAGTTGTTCAATAACGTATTATAGTAATCAATCTGGAACAAAGCCAGCTTCCTTCATAGTGGTAAACTCATGGACCATTTCATCCACCCGACCCACACGACCTAAGATATCCAAAATATTATACGATATCCATCAGGCGTACATCCAAAACCCTTCATCTGATTAAATATCAAAAGAGCCTTCTCTATCTGCCTACATTCACCAAAGGCAAAGATGATCCGATTCATAACAATCGTGTTATCCGGGAAAGCTAATTCTGATACTCGCTTCACATATCTAATCAATGCTGTACAGTCATTAGTATTAGCACATGACCTTGCAAGGTTAAGATAACAAGCTGAGTTCAATTGTCTATGAAACACCAATAAATCTTCGAATATCTGAAATGAAAGATCAATCTGATTTCTTTCAGCAGCAGCAGCCAAAAGTGTATTATACGCAATGGGGATGAATATATTTTTATCACGCAAAGAACGCAGTAATCTAATAGCCATAGAAAGATTCCCTGCTTTGCAGAGATTATGAATGTAAGCATTACACCTTTCCCGGCTCGAATTCGGCGTGTGTCGATATGTATCGAGGATTTGATTCAAGAATTCATCTGTCGTTCTCTCATCATCCGGAGCAGCCTGAGTTGTGAGCGAGTTATAATTTCCGAAGATTTTACTTACAATGGGGCAAAACAGGCGGATACAAGGGAATTCATCTGAAAAATAATTCTGGGATAAAAGCATGGGCATCGATTATAAGCTAAAAATATAAGAAATTAATCAATCGAATGGAGAAAAAGGGAAAAATGGAGCTTTTTTTAACTCACATGGGTACCCAGACCACGAACCAAACTGGAACTGAAATTGAAAGTGCCTTTGTATCGAAGGAGAATCTTGAAGCACCTTGAAGCAGCAACCATTGAAGATTTGAAATTTAGGAGAGAACCCATAAATAATTTTTATTCAGTTTTGCTCCCCAATTGGAGAAAATGGAGTTGAAGAGGGTATTGAGGCGATAATGAGGAATAAAGGTAGGGTTTTTAGGGTGGGTGGAAGAGTGCAGATCGCAAGGTTTAGTGATACAGCTACGTAATAGTACCGAGGAAATCCAGGTTTTAGGAATTGTTAATTTTCTCTGTTGTATATTTTTATTTTGAGGGAAAAAAAGTATTTGAGGTATTTGTACTTTTAGAAAGAAATTGATGTAATCCTCCAATTATTTTTATATATGTAACTTTTTAATTTAAAAATAATTTTAATATAATCTTTTGATCAATATTTTTATCGTTGATTGTTACGATATTAATGTGTAGATACACGATATTAACGTGATAATTTATAATAAATGATGACGTGACATATAATATGATATATGAATTAAATTAATTTGTTTGATCGTGTTTGAGTGTCAAATTAATTTTTTAAAATTCTAAAATTTATATAATTTTTAAAAGATATATTACATATAAAATATAAAATATTTAAATATTCAAAAAAATAAAGAATTAAATATTAAAAATAAAAATTAAATTACTCAAAATATTAAATATAAATCATAACTTTAAAATGATAAATGATAAATTTTTAAAAAGTTAAAATTATTTTGAAATACATATAATATATAAGCATATCATCAATACTTATACAAAAGTAATTTTATTAAATTGGTTGAGATTTTTAAATTTTATATCTAAATATAATTAGGAAACGTCGTAAGTTATATGCATCAATATACAAAATTAATCATATTTAAGATAATTTTTAAGTTTCACTTTATATACTAACTTATTATACATTGTGTAAGGGTTTACAAACAGTCCTTAGAATTATTCGAAGTATGATTAGATCATTAGATGTATGTATTAATACAAAAAGAATTATTGTCTTTCTTAACTATATTTTGATACAAAATTTGTAACTCTCCACTAATCAAATATTCTGTATAAATATTATGATATAAGTATATGTTGTATTACTATCTATAATATATATTTTAAGAATATTTTTAATTTTTGCTAATATATATTAATTTTAGTTTTTAATATATATTTAGATTTTAAAATTTTAATCATATTACTATTTTTTTAATATACATAAAATTAATTATTTAATTATTATTTTAATATTTCTATATTTAGTTTTTTAAAAACTTATATTTTAAATTAAAATATTTAAAAAATAAATAAGTATTGAACTTTCAAGAAAAACAATAATTTGACACCTGAACATGATCGTAAAATTTAATTTAACTCATTTGTCATTGTGGTCTGCCATGCTAGTATTGTGAATCTTCACCCACTGTAAACAATTATTTATTTTTCTCGTCAATTTCCTCGTCAACACTGTAACAATCAATGACAGAAACGTTGATTAAGAATTATGTTGGACTTACTCCTCTGTCTAATCTCATATTATGGTAAAAGACTTCATTCTACGACTCTGTCTAGCTTGATCAATGAAAACAAGCAAAATGCGACAATAAAATGTTGGAAATGTCGCCAATAAATCATTTTTTACCTTCGACTGTATGGATATATTAACCCCATAAATTCCAACCCACAATCAAGCACAAGGTACTTGGTAATCTTCACCTACTGCAAACAAAGCAAAAACCTTTGTTAACCCTATAAATTCGGCAAAGCAAAAACCTTTGTTAAACCCTATAAATTCAGCACCGTCCTTCAAACTCGAATCATCCATTCACCGCATCAAACAATTCCCCAGGTTTTCTAACATGGCTTTGAAAGTTTTCATTTCCCTTCTGTTATCTTCATTTCCCATACTCCAAATCGCCCTAGCCGGTGATCCTGATATTCTCACTGATTTTATAGTACCTGAAAACCAGAACACAATTGATGGAAACTTCTTCACCTACACAGGGATGCGAGTCATCATAAACGAAACCAGCTTCCCTGCGAATTTCACAGTGCTAAAAACTACCATGGTGGAATTCCCTGCTCTAAATGGCCAAAGTGTCTCCTATGCTCTTCTTCAGTTCCCTGCAAGCTCTGTTAATCCGCCCCACACTCATCCCCGTTCCGCCGAGCTGCTTTTCCTATTCGACGGGAGCCTTGAAGTCGGTTTTGTCGACACGACGAACAAGCTTTTCACTCAGAGTTTACAACCGGGCGACATGTTTATCTTCCCGAAAGGATTGGTGCACTATCAGTACAATGCCGATACTAACCATCCGGCTATTGCGATTTCTGCGTTCGGAAGTGCAAATGCAGGAACTGTGTCGATTCCGAAAACGCTTTTCGCCACCGACATCGATGATGACATATTGGCTAAATCATTCAAGACCGATGTTTCTACCATTCATGCTCTCAAAGCTGGTCTTGCATCCAGGTAGAGGTTATTTATAAGGAGAAAGCGATGATTTTTCTTTCTTTGGCTTGTTTGTTGTGATTTACATGAAGCAGTTCAGTATCTCCTTATGTATTTTGCAGTAACATAATCTGCCACAAATAATCGAAGCTGCAAATACTTCATTCTTATTACACATTTTGATTAAGAGAAACCTATCATATAATTATACGATAGAAAACAAATGTAAATCAATGAAAGATTTTACGTTAATTAGGAAAATAATTTTTTAAATGTTAAGGGATAAATATATAAAATTGTATGGACGAAAGAGATAAAAATAATATTTAAATTATATGTAAATTTAAGATTAAAAAACGATTATCCTATCAGTCCATCTCTAATAATGATATGATATAAAAAATTAACTCAGAATCTGTTTAGGTTAATCTTTAAGAAAAAAATACCATAGGCGAGAAGTATTTATTCAATATATTCTATTAAATAGATATTCAATATTGTCGGAACCGTCTTTCGGTTGGGCCCCGGAATCGGGCTTCGACTTAGGAAAATAGATTTGGAGTCGCCACCGATCATTGATTTTAAAATAAATGGGTTGATCGGATACCCTAGGTCTTACCTGATCTGCATCTTATCAGTGATATGTCGGGTTCGGGAGTCGGTTACGGTCAAGGAAGGATTAGCACCCTTGAACCGCCCTTTCGGTACTACATAATTTCCAGTTGTCTTAGATTAAGAAAATAGAAAGTTTAAATTAAAAAGGTAATATATGATCCAAATTTTACCTCTGATTGATTGAAAATGTGCCCTTAAAAAAGTCAAAAAGTCAGGTTAAATAAAATGGTAAAAAATAAATAAATTAAATTAAAATACAGAAAGATAAATTTAATAAAAATAAAAAAAATAAAAATAGTAAGTAAGAAATAAAAATAAGAAATAAAGAAAAGGAGAAATATAAATAAAACAAATGATAATTAACAGTACGAATAATACATATATAGAATAAAAGGTAAATATATATTCATAAATTAATAAAACAAATGATGAAAAGGACATATATACGCATATGCAATCTATCGAAATAAATATATTAAGAATAAATAGTGCGCAAAATATGTAAAAAATATTAAACGAAAAAAACAATTAAATGAATGAATAATAAAGAGATGTGCGTATAAACAAAGCTAAACAAATAAACAATAATAATTAATGCACCAATGTGAGGGACCAAATTATAAGGAAAAACCAATTGGTAGGCCAATTTCGAAGCGAAAACATTGATTTAA